CGGGAGCAGGCGGCCCGGGCGGGCGCGGCGAGTATGAGGAGCTGGGCGCTGTGGAGCAGCACGTGCGCTACGAGACCACCGGCCCCGCGCTGTGCACGGTGGTCTTCCTGCTCGTCTACTTCTTCGGCATGGCCAGCTCCATCTGGTGGGTGATCCTGTCGCTCACGTGGTTCCTGGCGGCGGGCATGAAATGGGGCAACGAGGCCATCGCCGGCTACTCGCAGTACTTCCACCTGGCCGCGTGGCTCGTGCCCAGCGTCAAGTCGATCGCCGTGCTGGCGCTTAGCTCCGTGGACGGCGACCCGGTGGCTGGCATCTGCTACGTGGGCAACCAGAGCCTCGACAACCTGCGCGGCTTCGTGCTGGCGCCGCTCGTCATCTACCTCTTCATTGGCACCATGTTCTTGCTAGCCGGCTTCGTGTCGCTCTTCCGCATCCGCTCAGTTATCAAGCAGCAGGGCGGCCCCACCAAGACGCACAAACTGGAGAAGCTCATGATCCGCCTGGGTCTCTTCACCGTTCTCTACACCGTGCCCGCTGCCGTCGTGGTCGCCTGCCTCTTCTATGAGCAGCACAACCGCCCGCGCTGGGAGGCCACGCACAACTGCCCGTGCCTACGGGACCTGCAGCCAGACCAGGCGCGCCGGCCCGACTACGCCGTCTTCATGCTCAAGTACTTCATGTGCCTCGTGGTGGGCATCACCTCGGGCGTGTGGGTCTGGTCCGGCAAGACGCTCGAGTCGTGGCGTGCGCTGTGCACCCGCTGCTGCTGGGCCAGCAAGGGCGCCACGGGGGGCGCGGGCGCCGCGGCCGCGGGGGGCGCCGGGGGACCCGGGGGGGGCGGGGGCGTGGGGTCCGGTGGGGGCGGGGGCCCGGGCGGTGGGGCGGGATCCCTCTACAGCGACGTCAGCACCGGCCTGACGTGGCGATCTGGCACGGCCAGCTCCGTGTCTTATCCAAAGCAGATGCCATTGTCCCAGGTCTGAGTGGAGGGGAGGGGGCACCCGGAAGGAATGGGGAGGGGGGCGAGGAAGCAAGTGCAGCGAAGGGACACTCGACGGGCTGAGGTTCCCACCCCTTCACCGTGTTGATTGCTATTAGCATGATAATGAACTCTTAATGGTATCCATTAGCTGGGACTTAAATGACTCGCTTAGAACAAAGTACCTGGCATTGAAGGCTCCCAGACCCAGCCCCCTTTCCTCCATTGATATGCGAGGAGCTCCTCCCGCCAGGCGTTAATCTCTGTTGGCAGAGGAGGGTGGACTCTGCTGCGTTTCAGAACGCCAGGTTTGGAGCCCTCGCTGGTTGCCGTTTGCTGAGCTTGAAGCCAGATCTACAGATTTCACCTGAGGGACCTATTTTTCTCCCTCGACTCTCCTACGTAAACTCTTAATCCTAACATACCCTAGAGGAGGGATGACCGCGACCTAATGGAATTGCACGGTTTGGGTATTCTTAATGACCAGGCAAATGCCTTAAATAAACAAACAAATAATGTCTTAATTATACACCCCAAGTAAATACGGGTTTCTTACATTAGAGGATGTATTTATATAATTATTTGTTAAATTGTAAAAATGTGTAAAATATGTACATATCCAAAGATATACAGTCTGTACATTTTTTGTAAAAAGTTTAGAGGCCACCCCTGTAAGAACAAATATAAGTATTCTATTTTGTCAATAAAATGACTTTTGATAAATGATTTAAGCATCGCCCTTTCCCCCTGCCTCTTCTAAGCTGTTACCTTTAAAGTGCTTGCTAAGGACGTGTTGAAAAATGGACATTTTCTGGTTTCTCATTCTGTACACTGACCTTAGGCTGGAGAAAATGACCTGTTAAACTCTAGTTCTTAAGCTGTTAGCAAAGTAAATATCCTTGTTGAACTGAAATCAAAATTGAGTTTTTGCACCTTCCCAAAAGATGGTGTTTTTCATGGTAGCCCTTTTCTCATCCATGGATAACAACACTTACCTTAGTGTGTGTAAATGGAACTTTTGCAAGGCAACAATTGCACTCAGGCCTTGTTATTTATCTTGTACAATATCACTAAAGGCTTCAAAACCCCACATTTATTTCTCGGTGTCCCTGATTTTGAAAGCACCTGGGTTTTCAGGGACTGAACACACAGCTGAAGTGTAGAGGTTAATGTTTTAAACCATAGATCACACTTTACAGTATAAGTCACTTGACTATCTGGTAGTGGAGCAGGCACTCTTTAATGGATTAGACTAACGGGTTAACATCTTAATAACCTTCCAGGCTTGTGTATATCAAATGTGCTGCTTTTCCTAGAGAAAAAGCTATTGTTCCTCTGTCAAGACTAAGCTAATTTATTTGAGCAGAAGGCTGTTGAATTAGCAGAAGAATGCTTTGGCAATTGTTGAACTTTTTACCTGTCTGCCCAGTGGCCCAGCACATCATTCCTTTAAGAGGAGCTAAATGAATAGGGTTAATCTGTAGGGAACTTGGTCTTTTGAGTTTGAAAAACTTTGATCTTTTCTCCTCTCCAAATGTGCTGTATAGTCTGAAGTTTCTTTCCCTGCTGCCCGGCTCCTCTTGGTGCAGACCAATTGGCCACCGCGGAGCCTTAAAGTTCTTCCATTAAAGGGATGTGGGACTTTTACTTTAAAAAGGAGAGAGAGCGAGGGAGAGGAAGACTTGTAACAGTTAGTGAAGACCAGAGGCACAAGTGCGCTCAGCCTTTTAAACAGCTTTTCCCGGCATTGTTAGCCAGCCTGCAGGCAGCTAGGCATGGGTTGAAGCATTATAGAAAAGGGCTCTGAATGCCCTACAGGTGGTCTGTGCACATAATCCCCCAATTTAAAGCGTTTTCCTTTGCTGGACAATTGCATTACAAAACTCCCTTCTTTTTCGCCCCTAATTGAACCAATGAACTATTATAAACTACAAGTTTTTCTTAAAAAAAAAAAAAAGAAAGAAAGAAAAAAAAACCCTCTGCCTAAATTCTATTGACTAAATTCTGGCAAGTTTTCTGAACTGAACCTTTTAAAGCACCGGAAGTAAAAGCTTCTTCAGACATTTCAGTTTTTCAGATATTTTTATTCCCCATGCTTGTTATTTTCTGACAGATTAGCAATAATTTAAAAGTAATTGGTAAGGTTGTGTGTTCATACTGAAAAGATAGCCCCAGGTCCCTTATTAACCTGTCAATCAAGATAAGAAATGGGCAGCTACGCTGCTAATGATGGGGGCATCAAACATTGCAGGGTGGGAAGGGACATGTTCTCTGCATCCTGCTAAAATGTTTGTTCTCTTTTCCTAATAGGAATATTTATTGGTTAAGAAAAAAATTTTTTAATTAATAGAATGGAAACTACTTCCTTGGCTGATCTTGCTCGCCTGAGAGGCTTTTAAGAGTTTCTTGGTAGAAACATTTTGCAAATCCTTTCCAGAGTCATTCTTGGCGTTAATTGGATTTTTTAAATTAGATATGCAATAAGAACACCTACATTAGCTATCATGCTGATTATATTTCTTAAGGTCAGAGGCATTGTAAAATCTTCACCTCCCAGCAGTTTTATTAAAGAATTAACTATTTTGTGACATAGGTACCAATAAGTGGCCTGCATCTAACCCAGGTGGTGACGCTCATGTACTGTAGGGTACATAAACCACAAACTTTATATTTTCAGTTATAAAGTGTAAGTGAGAGGGCACTTTCCATACTCTTTACCAGAGAGCTAAAAGCCACTACTTAGCATATTGGTTTTCTAATGTGGCAGTATTCTCATTATTGACACATTTTCAACTCCGTGATATGGTGGGAAATGTCCAACTTTGAAGCTTTTTTTCCTTTATTAATCTTTCAATATATCCTTGTAAAAAGTCATATTTGATAGCTTTGACAAGATGGCTATAAATGTGCTCAATATAAACAGGCTTGTTAAGCAAAAATCCCTACTATTCTAAGCACAACTCTTAGTAAGAAGACCTGCCTCTGTAATCAGTAAAAACTGATTTTAGAGACTGATACTAAAACACAAGTGCTGGTTCTTTGCCTTTAAGACTAAAACTTTAGTTGCAAATTTACCAATATCCAAATGGTAGATAGACGCAAAATTGATTTTGGGGGTGGAAAAATGGAAGAAGAGTCTCAGTTTGGCAATTTGCATTAGACAAATGACAGGTCCCTTGCCTGAATACCCCCCTTTGTGCTATACAGGTGTGTTCTTAATTAACTATATGGAACAAGTGTTAGTTTTTTTAAATTTTGTCAAACATGGAAGGTAGGGGACTGGGGAGGGGATATGGTTACTGTGTGGCTAGAAGATCAATATGAATAAAGTCTAATATGGTTAAATCCATTAGTAAAGCCAAAGCTCATTACAATTACTTGTGGGAAAAGCTATGTGAAACACTTTCTTTTTGCTCTAAAATAAATGCAATTTGAAAGTACCATAAAAAAAAGGGGGGGGTGGAAACCGTGTAAGAAAGTTTAAGGTGCAAAAGATGTCACCATCATAGTTTCTTAATCTACACTGATGGTGTTGCAGGTTCCTGTAATCCTTGAAAGTTGGGGGGGAAGGAAATCAGATTGTCTCGCCAAAACAAAAATTACACAAAGAGACTCAAGCAGTTGCAGAGTACAGGATGTAATTGAAAGTATAGGTGCAAACATTGTAAGATTCTCCAAATCACGTGTAGCCCTCTGCTTTCCCACGTGTGATACCATACTGCCACCTTGTGGTACCCAAAGTTCCAGAACTGGAAGGAGGGGCAGGTTCCTTCGTTCAATTCATTCAGAAATAGTGAGCCCCCACACTGCTGGCCTCATCCCCCACACAGAACCCAACCAGAGGGCCTGCAAGCATTTTGTATTCATAATTTTGAATACTTCCTCTTAAGGATCCCAAAACTGCATCAGTTTAAAGCCCCACAAGATCTTAATGAATTAAATCCTCAATATAAAGGCTATGCTAAAAATGTAGTTAAGCTGTATTGAAATCAAAAGGTCTATCTTTTTTAAATCATCTTTTGAGTAACTTTTATTTAAAGAATGGGCTATTCACCAAAGATCCACCACCTAACAGGAGAGGATCCAAAACTTAATGGGAAAAAGAATGAGTCACGAAGAATATTTTGAGGTGGCATGCAGTTGGCTTGCTTATTTAAATGTACTACTTTCCAATTTCCCACATAGAAGTTGATCTGCTGAGTTCAGTGGACACCCTTCAATGCTGAACATAAATGCTATTGGTTTGGGTGGGATGCAGGCTGTCCCCAGTTATCTAGCCAGGTGTTTGTGGAAACACACCCCCGGAATAGAAACTGTGCTGGGAAACAAGGTCAGCCAAAGGGAGGAAGGGGGAGGTGTCTGCTCTGGAAAATCTGAGGCCTGAGGGAGGAAGATTTCCATACACAGCAGTGTGAGAAAACCAGACCTTGAAGGGGGGTGGAGGGTGGAAGGTGCATATAGGGAAGAGGCAGACTTACAGGCCCACATCTGAAGACCCCTTGTTCTGAGAATCAGAATGGCTGGTAGGGATGGAAGAGAAGGAGGCAGCACTGGTCAAGGAGATACGAACTAAAGACCTTAGAGGTCATGTACCAAGATCATGGAATTTTAAAGACCAAGATCCCAGGATCATCGAGAACCTTGCCACTCCATAGACAAGTAGCAGGGGCAAGATCTAGCTGTATGATGGAAATATGGAATCTCAGGTCTTCGTTGCTAAATCTGAAGCTGTGTTGTGACCAGATCCCCCAAACCAGGAGCCCAAAGAGGTCTGGACTCGCTAAAGATCATACAGTCAAGAGCGGACACAGGCCTAGAAGCCACTGACCCTACTTGCCATTCCTATTTCTATAGGCCTCCCCTGGCTGCCCTGCTGTCTCTAAATCCCTAAGACCACCACTCTGTGCATCCATCCCTGAACATCAACCTACCCGGACTGTGCTTACCTTGTTACACAGTCAGACCAGAGTAAAGATTTCTCCATGATTTGGTGCTGACCTACACACAAGAACGTACAAATACACAGTCGGAGAGGCTGCCAGGACAGCTTTGGAAAGGTTTGCCTCTCAGGCCCCTGGCTGACTTGGGCCAGCTCACCTACTCTGTGCTGCCTGTGGTCACAGAAATGCAATCATTGGCATAGTTAGCATTTTCCTAGTTGATACAAAAGGCCCGAGGACAGCCTGCCTGCTAGCTTAGTGAGGAGCAGCAGTGACCAGGAGAAAGGAGCTGATAGAACTGGTAGATCTCACACTGGGGAGAGGAGCCAGAAGTGGAAAATGCCTGCCCTGCTGGGCACAGGCTCTGGGGGCCTTCAGGGAGAGCCCAGCACAGTCAAGGAAGGAAGGCAAACGCAGAGCCACCAGCAGGGAAGGGAAAAGAAAGGAGCAGGATACAGAGCTCAAGACCCCTGGAGTCCAAGGAGAGCATCCTGGAAATCTCTGGAGTGAGAGAACAAATCAAAAAGGAGATTAGTTCAGCCGATTTAAACCGCAGGCCTAAGAGGCTGGGTGGTACCTGAAAAGGAGAGATGGTGCCTAGAGGAGGATGGAAGTAAAGGAAGCCTCCTGCCAGGGCAAGAGCAAAGTTAGGATGAACTTTAAATGACCAAGTTGTAATGGCTTTCCAAGCCTTGGCAGAGAACCATTATTCACAGAAGACAAAGGTACCTATTTATCTTGCCTTATTTAACACCCAGCTGAGCCACATACTAATTTAAACCAGAAACACCATCTCCCGCATTGGTCCCCTAACAAACCTATTCCTAATTAAGTAACACTCGGCAGTAGTTCTCACCCCTGCCTACACATTGGAAGCACTCGGGGTGCTTCTTAAAAATACCAGTGCTGTGGCACCACCCCAGGCCAACTGAATCAGAATTTGGGGGGATGGAATCTGGGAAGTCAAAGTGTCTAAAACTATCCCGGGTCATTCTCATGTGTAGCCAGAGTTGAAAGCCAGAGAATGTAACCAAAGCTGGTGTTTTGATCTAAAATGAAACAAAATAGAAATTAACTAAGCAAACTAGCTACTGTCATCCAACTTCACTAATTAAATAGACGAGG